AGACCAAAATCTCATAAGTAGGCTCAAAATGTCGACAACTTTTTAGAAAACTAAAATTTGCGCAAACGGGCATACTGTTGTATTTGAAGTCGCTGATTATGAATCCGATATCAGATGTTGAAAATTCAAAATGGCGGATTCAATATGGCGTACATGAAAATTAAAAATCGATTGAATTCACTTGAAACTTGTTACTCAGGGGATTTCGGGGTCGCTGATTACGAAACCGATTTCAGATTTTAAAAATTCAAAATGGCGGATCCAATATAGCGGACGAATATTTCTAAAATTCATCGGATTCACTTAAAACTTTTTACTCGGGGTGTTTTCGGGGTCGCTGATTACGAATCCGATTTCAGATTTTGAACATTCAAAATAGCGGATCCAATATGGCGAGGGTTTTCGCTGATTACGAAAAACTTTTGAAACGATAATAAATACAAAATTTTCCCCCGCAGTCAGCTGTTAAGTATACACGGGGAAAAAATGTAGGTTACACCAACCCGAGACCCCGGTTAAAATCACTTGACCGACACAGGCGTTAACATAACCTCTGATACCCAAGTCAGCACAATTTGACAGCCAGGCAGTTTTGGCTTGGCTGCCTCAAGTAGTGTAAATGGCTGGATCGATGTCAGTAGTAAATTGACTGAGGAAAGCTAAAGACGCAACTGGAGAGCTAAGTAAAAACGGCCTGGCTCTCCGGTTACAACTACTTGACTTCATAAAATTATCATGACGACTTAAAAGAAAGCAGTTACAACTTTTTTTCTTCGTGTACTACGTTACTTACGACCCCAGAGTTTACCACGTGGAGGTATGCAGTCGGATTTTACATTCCTTTATTTATTTTGTTTTTGTTCTTATATTGGATCCGCCATTTTCAAAACCGATATTGCATTTTTAATCTACGACATCAATAAATCCCAAGTAACAACTTTTAAGTAAATCTGATAAATTTTTTAAAATGGCGCCAGCCATATTCGAAACGCTACATTGTATTTTAAAAATCTGATGCTAGATTCGTAATCAGCGACCCCGAAAACCCCTGAGTAACAAGTTTCAAGTGAATCCGATGAGTTTTTGAAAATGTCGTCCGCCATATTGGATTCGCCATTTTGAATTTTTAAAATCTGAAAATGGATTCGTAATCAGCGACCCCGAAAACCCCCGAGTATCAATTTGTGGACAAATCTGTGTGTTTTTGTAGCCATAAATCTGCTTGCGTCTATACACGTCATCGACAGTTTGAGCCCACCTGCACCATGACGTGTATACACGTCATCGACTGCCAAGGGGTTAATAAAAATCATGGCAAAATTTCAATTATTTTTAAAAAAATTTCTTACTTTGAGGTGGTTTTCAATATTCTACTATTTCAATAAAATTTCCCAAAAGAATTAAATTATTAAACAAGTTTTTAAAAAATACTACACAAACTTTAAATTATTTTAAAAAAATTACATTAATTCAATTTTTTAAAATAGAATGTGCATATTTTTTTCGCAAAAATCAATTTTTTTAAAATTTTCCATTAAATTCTCACTAATTCAATTTTTTTCAAAAATTTTAATAAAATTCATTGCAAAATTTCAATTATTTTCAAAAAGTTTTCTTAATAAATTTAATAATTTGTATATCAATTATTTTAATAGAAATTCTAAAAAGAAGTCAATTATTTAAAAATAATTTTGATTGATGTCTCTTAAATCGATGTTCTTTATATTTTTTAAATGTTTTTTCAATAAATTGTATTTAAGTCTCTAAATTTAAATTAGTAAAAATGTTTGCTAATTTGAATTAGCGACTGACTTTTTGCTTTTTAATTAGTGAATTTCACTAAAAAAATTAGTAGAAATAATTATTTATTAGTAAAAATTTACTAATTCAAAACCAAAAAGTCAATCACTAAATCAATTAGTAATCATTTTTACTATTTCAAAACCAAAAAGTCAGTCACTAAATCAATTAGTAATAATCATTTTTACTAATTCAAATTTAGACAGTAAGTAAAAATTTACATGAAATGCACTATCTCGATTATAATTAACAAATATTTTGAAAATTAGTACCCTAAAAATAGACCATGAAAAAAATTATTCTGGACCTTGAAAACCTTGAAAAGTTCTTGAATTTTTTTTAAAGAATCGCTGTACACCCTGCACGGAAAAAAATGTTGACCTGGAACAGTGATAAGTTTCTCTAAAATAGCGAAAGTCTTAACTGAAATAACTAAAAATTTGGCTAGCCTAGTGAAATTTATAGCGGTTCCAGGTGAATATTTGTTCCGTGTGTTAAATGAAAAATGTATTGTCTTTGGGGCAAGGTTTCTTGTGGATATTATGGAAAATTCGGGTAGCCCCGAATACTTAAGCTTTTTGGTGAACCTTCAGCATAAATGAATTTGTAAAATAATCAAACCTTTTAGGAAAAAAATAAGTAAAAATATGAGTAGGGGAGACTGGGGTAAACCCGCTCACTTGCGATTTGACGCTATGAACTTAACTTAAGATGGAGATATTGGTACTGTGAATAGTACCTAATATTCAACTTATATTAACGAACTTTTGTTTAGTTTCATGAATTCAACATAGAATCAGAGGCCATCAAATGTTTTTAGAGGTGTCAGAAAAAAACGTTTTTTGGATTTTTAAGTTTTTCGATCGTTATTTTTGAGTCTTAGTTTATTTGGCAAATTTTTTTTGTTGCTATCGGATGTCCTTCTTCGAAATACATATAGTTTTGTTTGATTTCAAAAATATTCAATTAAGTTTATTCTAAAATGTGAGAAATACACTCGGGGTAAAGCCGCTCACTTAGTTTTAAATTTATAATTTAGAATAAAATAATTTCATGTATTATATTTTAACAATAACAAAATTGATGACTTGTTAAAACCAAAATTGTGAGCAGATTTACCCCAGTCTCCCCTATTAAAATCCCAACCTTTAACAATTTGTCGTATCCCCGGACATGCGCGAAAATATTTTATGTTTTAAATACTGGACTTATTAAACTTACATAAAATTATTAGTTTCGTTAGATATTTAAATTAGTTTCGACCAGAATGTATAAATTAAATGATAACACTGCGTTACAAAAAAAATATGACTTCAAAAACTTTCTATGGGACCTAGTGGAGGTTGTAGGGCTTGAAAAACTGAGCAAAATGGTATATTTTAAATTGCCTAAACACCCTTAAAATTTTATTTTAGAGCTAACAACCGTTTTTTAGGAGTTAATCCACAAGAAACCTGATAATTTTCTTATTTTTTGACCGATTTTAATTTATTTTTTTTGTTTGGAAGCTGAAAAACAGATCTTTTTACGTTATAAATATTTTTATCGTATCTTATTAAATGACAACAATAAAGACAAAAAGTTTTAAAAAATTAATTTTTTTAGTTAATTTTTCTAGTTTCTTATAAATTTGTAACTGGTATCTCACATATAATAATTTTTTTCGTACCATGCATCGAAAGTATAGTCGATTCTGCTTTTAATGACGCCTGATTGAATAGAATTCGTTAAAATTTGTCAAAGTTATCATACTTTAAATTTTATAGTTACATAAAGTTTTAGAGATGACTGGTCTTTTTTTACATTTATTCAGAGTTAATTCTTTGTTAACTATGCAAAATTAATGATTTTAGATTAAATTTAACTCAGAATTCATTGTTGATTACGAAAATCGTATAATACAGAATATTTTTTGTCAACAATTTAACAAATGATTTAAAATTTGAAAATGCTTTTTTAATGGTTTTTTAACACAACTTTTCAGGGAAAAAGCACTTGTAATATGCTTTCGGAATATTGTTGGTCTCTCAAGCGCCAAAAAGACAGTGCAAAGTTAAAAAACCATTGATAAAGAATTTTTAAATTTTAAATCATTTATTAAATTGTTGACAAAAATATTCTGTTTTATACGATTTTTGTATTCAACAATGAATTCTGAGTTAAATTTAATCTTAAATCATTAATTTTGCTTAGTTAACAAAGAATTTACTCTGAATAAATGTGAAAAAGGACCAGTCATCTCTAAAACTTTATGTAACTATAAAATTTAAAGTATGATAACTTTGACAAATTTTAACGAATTCTATTCAATTGGGCGTCATTAAAAGCAGAATCGACTATACTTTCGATGCATAGTACGAACAAAATTATTGTATGTGAGATACCAGTTACAAATTTATAAGAAACTGGAAAAATTAACTAAAAAAATTAATTTTTTAAACCTTTTTGGTCTTTATTGTCGTCATTTAATAAGATACGATAAAAATATTTATAGCGTTGGAAAGATCTGTTTTTCAGCTTCCAAACAAAAAAAAATAAATTAAAATCGGTCAAAAAATAAGAAAGTTATCAGGTTTTTTGTGGATTAACTCCTAAAAAACGGTTTTTTAGCTCTAAAATAAAATTTTGAGGGTGTTTAGGCAATTTAAAATATACTATTTTGCTCAGTTTTTTAAGCCCTACAACCTCCACTAGGTCCCATAGGAAGTTTTTGAAGTCATATTTTTTTTGTAACACAGTGTAAGATGTTACTTTTGTTTTTCTGTATCTTTGGTCATTTATTGCACGTTTAATTATATCATACATCAAATTATATCTACAACAATAAAAATAGACCATGTAATAGAAATAAATTAAAAAATCTATTTAATATTTACAAAAAGTCAACATTAAATAAGGTTTTATAAGACGTTCAATGTGACGTACTTACATTTTCTAAAGTGTCCAGACACTTTTATGTTTTTTTAAAGCAAATTCCAGTTTTTTAATAAAAAAAATGAAAAAACTGAGTCAATGTTTCGTAAATAGTACTGTCTGGGGTTTCCCAAATATCCCCTAAGTGCTTATTTTGGTCTGACACTTTTTTAGACAATAAACTAAAAATTTAGGGGGTCCCACATCAATATGAACAACTTGGTAAATAACGTTCACCCTAATGTAATATATAAAATATACATATAAAATAGTTAAATTTTACTTACAAGATTATTTTCCAACACTTTTCGTACTGTTCCAACATCTAAAGCTATTTCATTTCTTGCAGATATGAAATCATCTGCATTTGTATAACTTTGTGGATCTACGAAGTTACAGTATACTCTAGCCAAATCCTGTTTTGGTAACTGAATTGCTAGTTGGCGATCTCTAAATCGTTCACCTGGAGTTCCAATCTTCGGTATTGATATTTTTGGTAGCATTGAAAAGTATTCATCTACCTGAAATTAATAAATTAAATAGTTTAAGAAACAAAAATGTAATAAGTTAAGTAAATTTATCAGAGAAATAAATACATTTCTCAAAATTAATAAAAAGAGCGAAAAGAATTTTTAATATTATAATTTTATATTTATAAAAATATAAAAATATATCAATTTGTCTAAAATACATTATTGCAAACAATAATAATTTAATGATATTGATTATAACCTTAAGTGACGATAATCCTGGAGGCGCCCAAGTTAGATTATTTTCGAGCGGATCAAATTGGATGAAAGTTGCACAATCACCAGCTCTAAGTTCCAGTTTAGCTATAATTGACACCCAATCTTCGTAACGTACATCGTGTACGTCCTGTTGACATTTACAAATTGTGAAATTCTTCCTGTAACATTTATTCTAAGATTTTTTATTGCCGATCATAATTTTTATTTGAATGGGATTACAAAATCTAAATATTAAACTATATATTTTCCATTAAGCAATACATAGGCTAGAATAGAGTAAGTTGATCCATCATTGTATTTCTAACTTTCTATCTTTTTGCATTAAAAACTTTTTACTAATAATTAATTTTAAGACAAATAACATATTTTTAACGATCAAACACTTTTTTCATGTTTTAATCTAAATGTAAATAATATAGGGGAGCGTGGTCCTAAGTTAGCCGTGGGCCTAAGTTGGCCACCCTGCATCTCTCAGAGATGGTATACTGGACGAATCTATAATTTTGTGGTATGATGTATTAATAAACCATGATATAATTTATGGACCTAATTATAATCTAAGATTCTTGTACGCATTTTGAGGACAATAATATTGTTTACGACCACAAAAATTTAATTTTTCTTGTTTTTTCGAGAGCAGCTACAAGAGACAAATAATTAAACATTTCTAAATAAGCGTGTGCGCTAGTTCCTTTATTTAATGTTGAAATAAGAGGTTCTGTTGATTTTTTAATTAAATTTTTTTATTAGCGTAATAATTTGAAACTTGTAAAAATCTACAGTGGTCCTAAGTTGGCCACCTATTGTTTTTGTTTGTTTTTATTTGTTTTACTTCTTTTTTGTGTTTTTCATCACGAGAAAGACCGTAAAAGTGTAACGTAGGAATTAAACAAAGACAAAAAACAAAAAAATGGTTTAAAAAACATTATAAAAGACATAATACAAAAACACCTGTCTCCACAGCTATCCACCACTGCAAATAAATGAAATAAAATAATGCTTTATTTTCTAAACAAAAATAGTTAAATAATGCGTTTTTATTCTCCTAAATGTATCAAATTTGTAAAATTTCTGCGTAATTGAAAAGAATATGCATTTCTTCCTTATACACAAGCGAAAAAAAGTGGTGGCCAACTTAGGACCGCTATTTCTGAAATGTCCAGTATGCAGCTTTTCACTATTTATTGTATTAAGACTACAAAAGCCATTTTATAACGTTCTAAATACCACAAAATTATAGCAAAACGATCTCTGAACACTAATATATACTTGCCGAAGTGATTAAATTTCATTTTGTTACTATTTTCGACCAATTTGCTTAGGCGGCCAACTTAGGACCACTCTCCCCTAAATAAATATAATATAAATATAATAAATATAATATAAATAAATATTAAAATTTATACTGACAAGTAACACTACCCAAGTTGAAGGTTGATTCTTTACCATATTCATCAACAAATAAATCAAATGATCAAAGTTTTTAAAAATTGATCGAAAACTACTAACAATTCTTACTCGGGGGTTTTTGAAGTCGCTGTATTAAAATTTTATGTCAGATTTTCAAAATTAAATATGACAGAAACAAAATGGCCCTTATTTTAATCATCAGAGCCAGCAGGATATATAGGTAATGCTACCCACTTGACCTATATATCCTGTCAGATCTGACTGCAACTCTGTATTTGTCAAGATTTAAAAAATTTAAGGCGTACTTGCGTTTGCGAAGGCAAAAAATGGGCCCCACTTAAATGTTTTTTTTTTCACAGTTATTTTATTTAAAATATTAAAAACGATTTTTGCACCTTAAAGTACATTATAAAAACTAAAAAAAGAAAAAATTGTTTCGTTTTTTAACCGTTATTTACGATTCGTAGAGTGCCCCAAAAATTGTCGATCTCAAATTTGTAAGGGTTTGCGGTGCCCCGCATAGAGCCTCTCCTGGCTGTCTAAAATCAAAAAAACAAAATTTGTTCTTTAGTATACATTAATACCTAGTGGACGTATATGATGAAATTAAAAAAAAGTAAAAAAAACGAAAATGCGGTACTTTTAAAGTCAAAAATTCAAAAAATCAAAATCATCATTTCTTAAAAATTGACTTTAAAAGTACCGCATTTTCGTTTTTTTACTTTTTTTTAATTTCATCATATACGTCCACTAGGTATTAATGTATACTAAAGAACAAATTTTGTTTTTTTGATTTTAGACAGTCAGGAGAGGCTCTATGCGGGGCACCGCAAACTCTTACAAATTTGAGATCGCAATGTTTGGGGCCCTCTACAAATCGTAAATAACGGTTAAAAATCGAAAAAAACTTTTCTTTTTTTAGTTTTTATTATGTACTTTAAGGTGCAAAAATCGTTTTTAATATTTTAAATAAAATGACTGTGAAAAAAACATTAAAGTGGGGCCTATTTTTTGCCTTCGCAAACGCAAGTACGCCTTAAAGGATTTTTAAAATTAATATCTTTAAAATCATTATTTTAAAGAATTAGATCTTTAGGCTTTTTTAAATGATTCACTATCATCATTACTTTCTTAATTGCTTTTTTTGTTTTATTAAAAATTTCAGATATTTTCTTTTGTTCCTCGTTTTTGTTACTTTTTCCAACTTTTTTTATAATGTATGGCAGAATAACGTCTGTTAGAACAGTGAGTATGTACATTAGATGTTAAACATCCAATCTCCTAATTAGAAAAAGGGTAAAACTTTTTACTTCACTATTTACAAAACGTCGCTTGGGGGCAGCAACATGCCGACTCAGCTAAACGGTGAAAAAGATGCCGTTTCGAAAAGAAAAGGGAAAAACATGCCATTTCACGAAGCCTGTGGAAACTATGCCTCGCCGCGAAAGCGTTGAGAAACATACCTTCTCCAAACGAACGGTGAAGAACATGCCTTTTCAACCGTTAATATTATATTAAAACGGCTGAAAAGGCATGTTCTTCACCGTTCGTTTGGAGAAGGTATGTTTCTCAGCGCTTTCGCGGCGAGGCATAGTTTCCACAGGTTTCGTGAAATGGCATGTTTTTCACTTTTCTTTTGAAACGGCATCTTTTTCACCGTTTAGCTAAGTCTGCATGTTGCTGCCCCCAAGCGACGAAAATATGTTTGTAGTCTGAGAAAGAATGGGAAATTGTTTTTACAAAAACCATCTGTATCAATATTTTTCAAAAATAATTTTTTTATTAAGTTTTTAGAAAATTGGTTCCATAATTATTTCTTTCATGGCGTATTTTCTCTTAGACTCTTACATTTTTTCTTTTTAACAAAAAATGTTTCCATCACTTTTATTTGGAATATTAGGTGCATTGTCCTTTTTTCTCCTTTCTAATGCACGCTCTTTTCTTCCCTTGATTTCTGTTCTTCCTTGAATTGCGTCTTCTTCTATTCTTACTAAGCACATTTTTCTTTGCTATTTTTAATGTACATCCTAATGCTTTAATGCTGTCCTTCCGGTAGAAACGGCGTTTATAAAGGTCGTGACATGTTTATTAAAATGTTGTTAGTTGATGACGTATGGACGAACTTATATGTCACTAACTAACAACATTTTGATAGATATTTGTCACAATTTTTTAAAATGCCATCTAAACCGGAAGGTCAGCATCAAAACATCAGGGTGTAGTAACATCAATCTGTTTTGAATCATTACACAAAATTATTAAATCATGGGAAATTTAGACGCAAGCGAATTTGTCGATGAATTCGAGAGGAAAATTATTGCATCAGAGATAGATCCTGATTAGCGGTACCGATTTTCTCCCAAACCCTTACGAATACAGCGTACTCGTGGTTCAACATGTTTCGTCACAAATGGACCACATGGACCATCGAGCTGAAATAGCACCAAAAAATTATATTTTTATCCCACATGCACAAAAATGGCGCTTTCTGATAGCAGACGACAGGGAGAAAAGTCATTCATTTCTTCGACCGTATGAAAATGGCGGCCGTGTTCTCCCATGGGCAAGAAAATTAGCTGTTCACATGCATTTTTCTTGCCCAAGAAAACGGTCGCCATTTTTATACAAATCGAACAAGTGAATGACTTTTACTCCCTGTCGTCTGCTATCTGAAATCGCCACTTTTGTGCATTAGGAATAAAAAATATCGTAAGTAACACGAGAATAAAGGCAGCCAATTTCTTTACGATGATTTTTGTTACACGAGTGGAGGTCGAGGACGCCCCGAGACCTCCACTCGTGTCACAAAAATCATCGTAAAGAAATGGCTGCCTTTATCCTCTTGTTGCTTAATATACTGTTAGAGTGCTGGGTTCTTTCTTAGTATAAAACATTTTTTATGTATTTTATATTCGAAATACGTAATAACAAAATTTGGTTTATTAAAATTGACAAAGTCCTATAAACCCTTAAATCGGTCCATTAAACTTTTCGATGTCTTCATATTAAAAGATTCTATAATTCTAAAACTAATCTTAGCTGAACCTACCCCACTCTCACATTCATTAAATATACATTTCAACTATTGTTATTATTGTCATTTTTAAAGAATTCATTGGAAGTTTAAAAATTTCCAAAATGACGAAAGATACTGTTAACGAGGTTAACAATTTTCTTCTTCCTGCACTGGGTAATAATGGTACGCAAACTTTGTTTATCAACAATATTTTATATTCAGTTAGTTTTTATTTAATTTGATAATTCTACCTTTTTAGGGTTCCATACACCTACGGTGTATCGGCGGAACCCTATTGGTGAGACTCTTGTGTCTGTAGCCAAATCTGGTGTATTTTAACGCGAATATTACAGGAAAAATATAGAGAACTTGCTATGTAATAATGGCCATAGCGTTGTCAAAGAAAAACTAAAAAAATTTAAAAAAAATTTTTTTTTCTAATTTTCACCACTGGCAAGAAAACCCATTAGACTTAAGTATTAAGTTTAAGTTTAATAATAGGGAAAAAAATTTCTAAAGAAAAATTACAAAGGAATGTATAAACACTTGTATAAACCAATAAATACAAAAAAATAAATAAATTTTGAATCGAACTGTACAAAAAAATTTATAGTTTACCGTTTCGTTTTTTACAATTATGATGTAACGAAGGCATATTGCATTGCATGAGCAATAGCCATAGTCGTCGCGCTGGCCATACTCGTTCGTCTCACTACCCCACGAGAGAACGAG